AATAAGTAAACAGTTAATAATAATAGTTTCAGTACCATATAGACATTAAAAAAAAGAATCAGAGAAAATGTAATATACTTAGTTTATTAATATCAGTTTTTAAGAAATAAATCAAATAATGTACCATAATCACATAGACATTATTTCAAAAAATATAAGAAAAAAATGTTTTACAAAACATCTATTCAGTGAGTTTTTGGGGCATCACAGGCGTGCTAACAAGATTTCATTTGAGGTTGGTTCATGCGACATTTCATTTTGCATGTCACCGCCGATGTAATGATGTAAACTGAGGATTATCACCATAGACTATATATGCATATTTCCATTTGAATTTATGATATGTACCATTTTGTTTCAAAAAGGATTTGGTACTAAAGAGTTTTCTTTCAAAGAAAAATATGAAATACTATAAAAATGAATAATATAACATAAAAGAAACAAATATTTACCTTTTGTCTTTTTTCTATTTTGTTATATATATTTGTCAAGAAAAAATAAGTCCTATTATATAATTTTTTATAATTAGACAATTTGGTTTACTACCCTGTCACCTTAGGTTTGGAAACTAACAATTCTACCGCTAATGGAGTTTTGTTCCAATTATGTGGTGCAATTTTTAATAGAGGTTAGCCTTTTTTACATCGAGAAATACAACAATACCAAATAATTTGCTTCTTTTCAAAATGGATATATGTAAGATAATTTTCCTGTAAATTTAAGTCTAATTTAGTTTATTTTCTTATTTTATTTTACTTGTTTTCTCTATTTTTTTTTTTTCCTTATGTTATGCCAAGGAAATAGGACTAACTAATTTTATGTAAGCCCCCAGAGGTAAGTAGCTTACTAGCCCTTATACCCTAGTGAATTTTGTTAAAGTTACTTGAACAAGTTGAAGAAAATGCCTTAAATTTATAGGGTAAAATGTCTTTTCACTCATAATTAGTTGAAAAAGTGGGGAGTGAAAAGAGATAGAATTTCATGGAGATGCAATAAAATGAGGGCATTATGGTAATTGACTAAGGGACATAGATGAATTTCATAGAAAGTGAAAGGGTAAAATGGAAACTAAAATATATTTTTTATATAAGAGTTGAAGAATGAAACCCCAGCCATTTCTCTCCTCCATTACGCCACTTACCACCCAAGTTCTCTCAAATTTTCAATTTTTTAAGGAATCATAAATCTTGTTTATTTTTGTGGAATTTCAATCTCAAGCATCCTTAGGTAAGATCTTGCACTAAGATATGAGATTTAATTTTAAAGTGTTGATTCTTAGATTTGTGTTCATAGGAGTTAAGAAAAAGAGTGTGGTCAAGAAGACTAAAAGTGTTGGATTGCTCACATCTAAGTAAGTAAATCCAACCCTAGTTATGATTGAATAATATGTGTGTAGAAATTTTTTTTATGCATGTATGTGCTATATATGAAGAATTGTTGATGGAATGGATGTTGAATGAGGTGAATTTATCAATGAGAAGTAGTGTTGTGTACTTGATGTTTGAAGATTTGGATGAATTATGGAAGAATTGGAGTAGAATTTATGGGTGTGAATCCTGGACAGGTTTGACGTTAATCTTGGTGTGTTTTATCCAAATTTTGGTGGCTTAGAAGAGAGGTAGAAGTGTAACCAAATTAGAGTTGATGTGGCATATAAATTGTTTGATGAAATGTCAAAGAGAAGTGCATGTATGAGTATTATTTGTTATCTTGATGAGTTTGTAGATGGTAGAAAATGACATGTTTACATTCCATGCATTATTGCATCCAAACATGTGAATTTAGAAAGAATATAAAAATGAGCCATCACAGCATATACTCATAAGAGCATTAAAGAGCATATGAACATTAAAGTTAAAGAAACAATAGAAAGAAATTAGAAATATAAGAAGTTCAAATCTGAATTTTATTTAAGAATGTAAAAAGATAAAAGAAGAGAAGGTTGTTGCGATGGGAACCTGAGTGACATAGCCGCATGCACGTCCTTTAGTGAGCGCTCAGAACAGAAAGAAGAATTTTACAGTCCGTTAGAAGTGCATGTGGATGAGGACTACCCAGAATTAGAGAATAAACCACACGGCAGGGTTCCAAATCCATGCCTCACCGGTCCGATCGGCAAGGAAAGAAAAAAAGAAGAAAGAATAGAAAGAAAGAAAGAATAGAAGGAAGAGATAGAAGAAAGAAAGATAGAAAAGAAAGAAAAAAGAAAGAAATACAGAGAAAAGAAACAGAAAAGAAGAAAAGAAAATGCACACCTATGCATTTGTGCATTTGCACATACCTATGCATGATACCATGCCTACTACCATGAGTAGTGAGAATAAGAATAGAGAAGAACAGAGAGTGTGAGTAAGGAAAGAAATTCAGAATGTGAACAAAGAGAGAGAAGAGTAGCATAGGCTTTCACTTACTGAGCAATTAGTGCTCACCCCTTGTTTTCAATGTTTTGCAGGTGTAAGATGTGGGTCGCTTGGCACGTCAAGAAGCGGAAGGGTTTTGCACACCGCGTGATGTTTGTGACTTATTATATATATAAAGATTTGTATAAAGAAAAAAGTTATGGGCTATTATTTATATCATCTACTGTAATTTTTATATATATTTAGTGAGTTTACTGTTATTTTAGATATACTAGCTAGAGAAAGAGTATTACATTTTTGGTATTACAGCAAAGGTTTGGGATTTGACAAGTGTGCCTCTCCCCCATTGACGATTCGTAGTCGACCGTTGTAGTTATTTCTTTCCTTACTTTAGTAGATGAGTTAATTGAGTTGACTAAAAGTGTTGGTGTTATGTAGATGAGACGTAGAAACGAGAGGCATAAGAAGGCAATGAGTAGGGTGAACCTTCCAACCCTCAGAATCTACTCCCCTGTCCTTGATGAAGCGAGGAACCTAGTATTACAATAAGTCTTGTAGAGAACGGGGATGTACCGGAGAGAGTTAAGACCCAGTATTGACCGACACCCAGAGAGAGAGAGAGAAGAGGCGGTACCCCGTGGTGTAGAATGTATGAACCGATATATGGGTTGCTATCAACATCAGCGTCAGATTCAGGGTACGACGACCCAATAGTGGCAGACGAGTGGTTTAGATATGGGAGCGTACGACGACACCTTTTCCCTATGAAGACCGGAGAAGATCAGTATGCAAGCTTCCTTTTAGGGTGATGCCTATATGGGGAATGATGGAGGATACTCAGATATAGCCTCGATGACTGGGGAGATTTCAGAAGATTGTTTGAGGCAAAAATATAACAGTTATCGAGTTCATGAAAAGGTTCAGGAGTTTATCATTTGCAAAGGGGACTAGTTTAGTGAAAGAAATTTTGTAAATTTAATTCCCTGGCAAGGTTTGCGCCAGGTGTAGTGAGTACACCGAATTGAGAGAGATAAGTGTGCTGGGCTTGAAACCAGAATAGCGAGATGTGATGGCGGTGCCACCCCTTAGACATAGTGAAGCTTTAGACGAGCCTTACGGCGAAATATTGTGAATAAGCTAACCCAGCACTCTATCAGTAGTACCCCTAGTGTTCCACCTTCTGTCCATAGAGAGATAGAGGCTGATGCCCCCACTAATAGAGGTGGAAATAAGAAAAAGTTTCAACCAAGAAGAACATGAGGGATTGGAGAATAAAAGGCGAGAACTGAAGTTCCCCAGTGCCAGAAGTGTGGAAGAATCATTATGGGAGTGTCTTAGAGATTTGGTGAAATGTATGTATAGATTGGTAGCAGGGCATATGAGAGATTGCAAGACCCTCCTGCACCCGCACGCAGACACTAGAGGTATAATGCTAGTGTTTACAGTAGCTTAGAGTGAAGCTGAAGCTAGCCATCCGTAGTCTGGTCAATTATTATTTCACTCATTCCCCTTATGCATTAATTGATTTGGAGCCACACATTCATTTATTACACATGGATTTTAAAGGAGATTAGGTTTGAAACCTATTATAGTGGATTGTCCCATAAGATAGATTAAGATGGTGTTAGTGTGGAACTCAAGAGATGCTTCAGGGGAGTTGTAGTGATCCATGGAAAAAAGTGCCAGTGGATTTATAGTGTTGATATGCCCGATTTTGATGTTATTTTGGGCATGGATTTCCTAGGGAGATTTGGAGTAGGATTGATTGTCAAGAAGAAACAAGATTTAATCTTGATGATGGTGATAAGTAATTTTGGGAGGGTCACCAGCTAGTATGTTAATTAGAATGTAAGGCAGAAAGATGCTAAAAGGGTGTGTTGGGGTATATTGCTCATGTAGTGCAGTAATGATGTCCCAACAACAGAATTAGAATGTGCCATAGTACGAGAGTTTTTTGATGTATTTCCGAAAGATTGTGGTTTACCTTCGAAAGAGAAGTAGAATTCAATTGAACTAGCACCAGGGACAACACCAATTTCTAAAGCCCTTACCAGAGCCCAGCTGAACTTCAGGAATTGAAAAAGCAGCTTAGAACTCTTAGACAAAGTTATTGACCTAGCCATCTCTTGGGGTGTCTCCAATTTTATTTGAAGAAGAAGATGGATCTCTACAGATTGTATAGATTACAGAGAGACTAAAGTAACATGAAGAATAAATATCGTACCTTGATAGATGATTTGTTTTACAGTTGAAAGGAGCAGCGTTGTTTCAAAGATTGATTTGAGGTCAGGTTATCACCAGAGAAGGGTTGCAGAGCAAGATATGCGCAAGAAGTTTCGACCAAATATGGGCATTATGATTTTGTGTGATGCCTTTTAGGTAACCAATGCCCCATAGTCTTTATGGACTTAATGAACGGGTGTTTCAGGATTGTCTTGATCGATTATAGTGGTGTTTATTGATGATATCTTGGTTATTCTAAGAACGAGGAGCATGAAGAACCTAAGATGTGCTACAGCATGTGGATAAGAAGCTGTTGCCAAATTTTCTAAGTGGAGTTTTGGCTCGATCAAGTTATTCTTCCTGGGTCATACGTCTCAAAGGACGGTTATATTGCTTGGCAGATAGAATTGGTGATGCAAAGAAGTTGTTTGATACTATAACTAGAAAGGGGTATAGACCTGATGTTGTTTGCTACACTACTTTAATCAATTGGTATTGCAAGAATAAAGAAGTCAATGAAGCTCTTAGTCTTTATCGGGAGATGATTTCAAAAGGAATTAGGCCTAATGTGATTACATATACCACCTTGTTAACTGGCTTTTTTCTTATAGCTAAGGTGAAAGATGCACGGAATTTGGTTGGTGAGATCGACTTAACGATGTTTTCCCTGATTCCTGGACATATAACATTTTCATTGATGGACTTTGCAAGAATGGATGTGTTTTGGAAGCATTGGAAATGTTTAATACTCTAGTAATTAATAAGTTTGCAGTTGGCATTGAAGGTTTGAGTTCCCTCATTGATGGATTATGTAAAACAGGGAGATTCGAAACTGCTTGGGACCTATTTTAGAAATTTTCTCTTCATGGAAACCTGGTGCCAAACGTTGTAACATATAGCATTTTGATCAATGGGATGTGTAAAAATGGAGCACTAGAAATGGCAAACGAGTTGTTGTCATATATGGAGGAAAGAGGTTGTGCTCCAAATGTAGTCACATTTAATACGCTTATGTCTTGTTTCCTCAGGAATAATGAGATACCAAAAGTTGTTGAACTCCTTCAAAAGATGGGGGAGAAAAATGTGAAGCCGACTGAATGTACAATGTCCTTAGTCATGTTGTTACTAATGAAGGCCGAAAATTATAGTGAATGTTTGAACAAGCTTCCTCAATTTCTGGTCCAAAAGCGAAATTGAAGTTTACTTGATAAAACTTTAGTGAGTATTAAACTTTTTTTCAGAGCAGAATCCTGCAAAAGTTCATCCAGCTGCCCAAATGCTCTATATTGGTTATGGTAAGCAGAAGATTCAATAAACACTTTTATCTGTTCGAATTTGATAGGGATGGTGATGGGATGATTGAGAATGATAGTTTTCTTGATCAGACATATGATACATGATCTGTCACTGTTGTAAGTACATATATTGGAGGTGGCAGCATTACAGGTTGCGTTGGGATTTGCACATGTAGTAGATCTTAAAGGTTTGAGGATTATTTTTGGTGTAAATTTTAGTAAGCAAAAGTTGTATATGAGGAATTGTGGAATGGTTCTTACTTCAACTACGACAATAATGGTAGCCGCTCAAGTTCATCTATTCAAGCTAATCAGTTTACTGGACAATGGTATGTTGCAACTGATTAACTTCATTCATTGATGTGGAGAAATATTTTTCTTCTATTTCATAATGAAATGTACAATGAATTTATAGTAAAAAGAAAAAACTAATCTAGGAAGTAAATTGTTACATTCCTATTATAATTATATTTCCTATTCCTATTATAATTCTATTTCCTATATTACAAAGAGAATAATTCTATTTCTTATTTTATATTTCAACAATTGATATTCTCAATTATCTAGGCCTGATAAATCTTGATTTATTTGGTGTTTCACATGTTTCTGTTTCTCATTTTTAGTTCATATCTGATAAGATTGGAACTTACCAGGCGTGTCTCTAATGTAGTTATGCACGAGCATGTGCTCTTTCAGCGATAGTTGATGAAGGCAAAGCACAAAGAGCATTAGAGAAGGTTTTTCACCAGAATATCTTAAAGAATATGGATGCAGAACAGGGGCCAGCCAATGGGATCTAACTGTTGGAACAGTTAAAATGACAACATTGCAGTCAAGAAAAATATGGTCTGGTGTTACATATGCAGTTGCTATAACGATAATCATGGAGATTTGGTCGATATGGGATTTCAAATTTCCATTGAAATCTATGAAGTAGCATGGTCTGAAAATGCACTTGTGTAAGAACCTCTAAGTTTATTTAAAGTTGTTATCTTATAGCTTAGTTAATAGGCTGTTAACTAAGGTATGAGTTTGTGCTTTTTAGATCTAAATCTATCTCAAATCTGTATAGATTTCATTTCATCATCTGTTTTGTTAGTTCATTTTTTTTTTTTTTTTGGTGGATGTACCGTTTTACCATTTTCTAGTAGATTCTTGATGTTGTGAAATGTTGGACAAAACTGCGGTAGTTATAATGTCTAGTAGATAATATTTTTGCTGCTTAGGTGAGGAGGGGGAGAAGAATATCATAGATAGATAATATAGGATTCTATATAGGGTGATAGAGAGAAATTAATAGGTTAAGAGGGGAAATCAGGAAAGGGATACCAAGGACTCAAATACTCGATCCTAAAATGTAGAAGATAAGGACTAAATACCCTTTTGCGTCCTTCCTTTACGTCCTGTATCGTCAGGTTACTGCCTTTAGGATAAATTTCTGCCAACTACAATGGAAACTTTACATTCTGCATAATTTACACTGAAAAATATCTGCTCCGGAACTATTTGTTCCTGATAATTGACTGACTCATTACTGTTTTCTGCGTAGTTATTTTTTCTAAACTCCTGAAGCTTGGACCACCATTGATTGTTTTAGAGCGCTAAATTACATGCATTCGTTGGCCATATAGGAAATGGAATATTACAAGGCCAAAACCTTGTAGGAATGGGATGAAACCAACAATAAATGAAGAATGTCTGAATAGATATCATGCAGGATTCTGCAAAGTTGCCCACCTCCTAAAGGTATCGGATGAGAAAACACTTAAAAAGGTTTTTTTTACAGTCACTCTTGTATTACACTTGCTAGAAGATGTTTCCATAATTCATTAGTTCTTGTGACTTATTACTGTCATGCAATTTTATGTCAGTTAGTGAGTTGTATTTTAAAAGAAAACATTTAAAGTGTTTATGTAAATTATATGGTTCAACTATTAGTCATCCTATTATTGTAACTATTTTCTGAATTTAGTTTTGATGGGTACCATTGTTTCCAAATTTTGCAAGAAATAAAGGTCATAACAGAGATTACAATGTTATAGGAACTAGGAAGCACATTCATAACAAAAGTTCTTTATTAAGAGGGGTGTATATTTGACTGTTTAATCACTTGATATGTGCCGGTCATATCTGTTAATGTATCAGTTAACATTTATGATCAGTTCAGTATCAGTTATTAGTTTTATAGTATCAGATCAATTTTCTGTTTTACAATATTAGAACAATTATTAGTTCATGGTATTAGTTCATTTATCAGTTATTAGTTTTAATGTATCAAAAATGAACCAATAAAGTAAACAGTTAATAATAATAGTTTTAGTACTAGATACTAGACATTAAGAATACATAATCAGAGAAAATATGTAATATATCTCTAGTTTATTAATATCAGTTTATAAGAAATAATTCAGATAATTATACCATAATTACAGAGACAATATTTTCAGAAAAGTATAAGTAAAGAAAAAATATTTTACAAAATCATCTATTCATTGAGTAATTTTAGGTCAACACAGGAATCGTGTTGAGTAGTGATTTTCGCTCGAGGTTAGGTCCACACGATAGCTTCATTTTACATGCCATGTTGCATGTAATGATTTATGCTGCATGAGGGTTACCACCCATAGAGGTGGTGGTGGGTCGTGCCGTGTCTAAAAATTCGAAGCCTATTGTGCCGTGCCAAGGCCCACATAGTTTCGTCCCCTGTCGTGCCAGCCCACGAAATTTGAAAGCCCACGGCATGGCCCGTTAATATCGTGCCATGCTTTGGGCAGTGCTATGGGCTGGCCCACGTGCTTTGTAAAATTATTTAATTTTAATATTTATAAATAATGGTAATTTTGATTTATTATTAATAATTATTTTTAAAATATTTTTTATGTTATATTTGGTGACATTTTGTATTTATATTAATTAAAAATATATAATCATTCTGAAATATAATAAAATAATAAGACACTGAAATATTAATTGAATTTCAACACTTTTTATTACTTATAAGTTATAATTATAAATTACAAATACAAACTTAGAAATTAGGATTAAGAATTATTATGAATTTTCATTTTTATTAATTTCTAAATTCTTAAAACCTTCAAATATATCTTCAACAACACGATTTTGAAGCTTGAAATCTGTCGCCACCCAATCGTTCACAGACATAATGGCTTCAACAGCAATTTTAAAAAATAACTATTAATTTTATTAATTTAATTTTTTTTTTTCGTGTTATGTCGTGCTGGCCCACAGACTTTTTTTAAGGCCCACAGCACGGCTCACATATTTTCGTGTCTGGTTGTGCCGTGCTTTTTTTTCGTGCCGTGCCTTATTGTGCTGTGTTTTTTTTGTGCCAGGCCGTGCCGTGCCGTGAGCTGACATGACCCACCGCCGACTCTAATCACCCATAGACTTATTATATGCATATTTCCATCTGAATTTATGATATGCATTATTTTGTTTTCAGAAAAAGGATTCGATAATAAAGAGTTTTCTTTCAAAGAAAAATATGAAATACTATAATAAAATGAATAATTATAACATAAAAGAAAAATCTATTTACCTTTTGTCTTGTTTCTATTTTTGTTATTATCTATTTAGTTTATGGTATCAGATCATTTATCAATTATTTGTCTTAATGTATCATAAATGAACTAATAAAGTAAACAGTTAATAATAATAGTTTCAGTACCATATGTTAGACATTAAAAATACAGAATCAGAGAAAATGTATAATATATCTCTAGTTTATTAATATCAGTTTACAAGAAATAATTCAAATAATTGTACCATAATTACATAGACATTTTTTTCAAAAAAATATAAGTAAAGAAAAAATGTTTTACAAAATCATCTATTCAGTGAGTATTTTTGGGGCATCACAGGACCGTGCTGAACAATGATTTTCATTTGAGGTTGGATTCATGCGACAGTTTCATTTTGCATGTCATGCCGCATGTAATGATGTAAACTACATGAGGATTATCACCCATAGACTTATTATATGCATATTTCCATTTGATTTTATGATACCATTTTGTTTTCAGAAAAAGGATTGTACTAAAGAGTTTTCTTTCAAAGGAAAATATGAAATACTATAATAAAATGAATAATTATAACATAAAAGAAACAATTATTTACCTTTTGTCTTTTTTCTATTTTTGTCATTATATATTTGTCAAGAAAAAATAAGTCCTAATTAATAAATATATTTTTTAAATAATTAGACAATTTTTGGTTTACCACCCTGTCACCTCTCAGGTTTGGAAACTAACAATTCTACCGCTAATGGAGTTTTGTTCCAATTAAGGTTGGTGCAAAGGATTAGAAAGACATTTTTAATAGACGGTTAGCCTTTTTTACATCCGAGAAATACAACAATACCAAAATAATTTGCCTTCTTTTCAAAATGGATAATATGTAAGATAATTTTCCTGATAAATTTAAGATGTTAATTTAGTTTATTTTCTTCTTTTATTTTACTTGTGTTCTCTATTTTTTTTTTCCTTATGTTATGCCAAAGGAAAATAGGACTAATTAATTTTATGTAATACCCACACCAAGGTACGTAGCTTTACTTATACCCTTATACCCTTGGTTGAATTTTGTTAAAGTTATCTTGAACAAGTGTGAAGAAAATGCCTTAAAATTTCATTAGGGGTAAAATGGTCTTTTCACTCATAATTAGTTGAAAAAGTGGGGAGTGAAAAGAGATATAATTTCATGGAGAATGCAATAAAATGAGGGCATTATGGTAGTTGACTAAGGGACATAGATGTACTTTCATAGAAAGTGAAAGGGTAAAATGGGAAACTATAAATAATATTTTGTTATATCAAGAGTTGAACAATGAAACCTCATCCATTTCTTCTCCTCCATTCACGCCACTTACCATCCAAGTTCTCTCAAATTTCTTCAATCATTTTTCAAGGAAATTCATAAATCTTAGTTTATTTTTAGTGGAATTGACGGTCCAACCGGACCGGCGGAAAAACCAGTCCACAATTTAAATCCCTAATACGCGACAATCTTCTTCCCTTTCACGCAGCCCTTTCTCATCTTCTTCTCTGTCACGCAGCCCTTTCTCATCTTCTTCTCTTTCAATCTTTCTCAGTTTTTCTGACGAAAATTCTCACGGTTTCGACTCTATCTTCTGTTCACTCTAAAATCCCACTCTTCTGTTTACTGACTCTTTATAAATATTAGTCAAAAGGGGTTAAGAAAAAGGTATCTAAAGAACTATAGCTTGCAGTTGCCGCCAGTTGTTTGTTTGTTTGCCGCTGAGAGGAGAAGCTTCAGCTAGCTTGAGTGATTTTCGTTTAAATTGCCCAGCATTGTGAGGTACGTATGATTTTTTCCTTTCTTTTTCTCTCTGTAGTCTGTAATGATCTTATGCTTTGGTTGTTTGATTTGATCTCTTTGTTTGATTGGTAAGATCTCCTGGTTTTAGAGTAAAAAAGGGTTTTGAAATAGAATCTCACATTATCCGGTTTTCAACTGGTTTAAAGCGGCTTAATGTATATTAGCGGGTTTGAGTGTGACTCGAACCGGACACGTGACTAGTTCATGGTCCAACCGGTTGGACCGGCCGGTCCGATCCGGCTTTTAAAACAGTGAGAATACATAATAAGAGAAAATATATAATATATCTCTAGTTTATTAAAATCGGTTTATAAGAAATGATTCAGATAATTATACCATAATTACAGAGACAATATTTTCAGAAAAGTATAAGTAAAGAAACAATATTTTACAAAATCATCTACTCATTGAGTAATTTTAGGTCAACATAGGAATCGTGTTGAGTTGTGATTTTCGCTCGAGGTTGGGTTCACACGACAGCTTCATTTTACATGCCATGTTGCATGTAATGATTTATGTTGCATGAGGGTTACCACCCATAGAGGTGGTGGTGGGTCGTGTCGTGTCTAAAAATTCAAAGCCCATCATGTTGTGGGCTGTGCCGTGCCAAGGCCCACATAGTTTCATGCCCTGTCGTGCCGACCCACGAAATTTAAAAGCCCACGACATGGCCCGTTAATATCATGCCATGCTTTGGGCCGTGCCATGGGCCAGCCCACATGCTTTGTAAAAATATTTAATTTTAATATTTATAAATAATGGTAATTTTGATTTATTATTAATAATTATTTTTAAAATATTTTATATGTTATATTTAGTGACATTTTGTATTTATATTAATTAAAAATATATAATCATTATGAAATATAATAAAATAATGAGACACTGAAATATTAATTGAATTTTAATACTTTTTATTACTTATAAGTTATAATTATAAATTACAAATACAAACTTAGAAATTAGGATTAAGAATTATTATGAATCTTCATTTTCATTCATTTCTAAATTTTTAAAACCTTCAAATATATCTTCAACAACACGATTTTGAAGCTTGAAATCTGCCGTCACCCAATCTTTCATACACATAATGGCTTCAACAGCAATTTTAAAAAATAACTATTAATTTTATTAATTTATTATTTTTTAATTTTTTAATTTTTTTTTCGTGCTATGCCGTGCTGCCCACAGGTTTTTTTTAAGGCCCACGACACGGCCCACATATTTTCGTGTCGGGCTGTGCCGTGCTTTTTTTCATGCCGTGCCTTATC